GGTAATTTGGAAAAATCAGTAATTTATTCCCAAGGGATGGATTGCAGGAGAAAATGTGAAGTCCCGAGGGATAGCTATCGAGAAAAAGATCGAGTTTCTTGAAAGCTTGGCTGGAAAAGTAATTTTCTTTGCATCTATTTTTGGCAGTCAATTTATTTTTATTGACTTAAATACTCATGCCCACTTATCATTTTGGTAATTGCTATTGTGATCTCAGTGTTTGAGATTAAAGGGTTTGTCTATTTTGTATATGCAATTCATATCGTAGCTTGATTGGTAATTTTTGGATAAGTAGATGATTAGCTCCTCATTTGGTTTAATTCGACATGCTTGGTGGAGCGACCATTATAATAGTAGTGTTTAGGGTTGGGTAGTTTCTTTGCATTTTGAAAACTTGAATCTAACATGGGTTTCCAAGATTCTTTTCTTGTTTATCCAGCTAATATGTATTTAGATGTTGTATATTCCGAGTTAAATATGCCAAAGGTATTTTCATTTCAGGTCAGCAACAGGAGATCCCGCAGATGGTTGAACGATCGTCTTTTAATGGAACTTGTTCCTCGTTTAAATGCAGAAGAAATTAGAGGGCTGTTTGCCCCACCACCTTTTGGTAAGATATTTTTGGGTGTGGTATTATTCCATAATTGATCATTTACTGTTCCAAGTGATGTACATTTTACCGTTGGTTACTTTTGGAAGGAAGCTCTGGAGATAGTTCGTCACCTTCCCTAATACTGATAAAACATAAGGTGCTCAGTTTACACTGATAAAACATAATGGACCCTATGCAGCGCGAATTTGGATTAGTCGGGCCAATGGGTTCCGGATACCATATGGTTATACAAAAAAAGCATCATTATCTGAAGAGAAAAAAAAAAAAAAAAAAAAAAAAAAAAAAAAAAAAAACTAACATGAGTCAATTTGGATAAAGCTTGTGGCATCAGAGCTGGATATGCAGTTTTAATTATCTTTTGGTACTACAAGTAGTTCTTAATATTCTAGCTACTATTAGTAGAGGTTAAGTTTCTGCATTCATTGTCTCTGCTCTTGAAGCAACAGAAAATACATTTTCTAGCAAAGAGGATGCCTGCCTGGCCAAGATTATTTAGCACAATGAATTTTGCACATACACTTCTTTCTTGTTAAAAGAAAAAAAATATTAGCATACATACTGCATGGAGAGTTTTTTTTTGTCCAGGGAACAGTTGTATCATTCTTCATCTTTTGCTCTGAACATGATACGATCGTGCATATATGTCTTCTATGTCACGATTTGTTTATTTTAAAGAGCACAAAATATGTTAATATTAATTAGGAAAACAAGAGAAAGGAAGAAATGCCATATCATTGCACCAAAAGTGATGAGGGCTTTGAGTTCAAATATCTTGAAGTAGAAGCAGAAGTGCATATGTTTTCCAGCAGGGTTATGAATGTGATAATGGTCCAGTTATAACTCATGGTTGTGATTTACATACATTTCATCTTAGTCATATAGAAGCTCTTCGTCTGTTCATACTCTTTTGTCAATTATATATAATCTTCAATTAAACTTTTTTTTTTCTTTAAGAATAAGTACTTTTCCATTGAACTTATTACACGCTAAATTTTATTTCTGATATTAACATATTAATATTTCTTTTTCTGCAGGTGATGATGTGCCACTCTCAGTATTTTGCTTGACGAATGTGGAGGAGTGGGACAAATTCAGGAATATAGACATGGATAAGGAGGTTATTATGTTTTCCTGTTTCTTTAAAGTGTATTTACTTCCTAAAAACCTGGCAACATTTACTTAGAGTAGTGTTTATAGTAAAAACGATGACTTCTTTCGATGTTATGTATTTTCATCTCCTTCTTTTTTGATAAGCATGCATTCTTTCCTTGGGAATGATTTCCTTAGGACAACCTAGCGATATGAAAGGCCTGCTGTTACTTCATAGTTGAATTGAACTACTTATTAAAGCACAATTCATTATTGATTAATAATTTTACTATGTGACATTCATGATTAACTCTTGACGTAGTATGTCTTCACCCCTCTGTTTCAAAAGTTTGCATTTTTATTTAATTCAACGTAGTGACTTGGAATTTGACTTGTGATGTTGCAAAATTGTCTTATGGTCTTCTATATGCTCTTATTTGGTTAGGCTACCATAATGGATGCTCTTGAAGGCAAAACATCGAAGCGAAAAAATTGCGTGGATAATGATAAGGTTGCGGTGTTGACTGCATGGCACAGAGTGGATTGTCGAACAAGAGAGGCACTTCGACGTAACTTTCTCCCTGAATTGGTCAGCAGCTATGAGGTATTATTCCTGAGAATTATTGAACCCCTTGTCTTCAATTTGTTCTTCTGTATGCGTTGTTCTTATGCAAATGTTATTTAGCCATTGCATCCGTCATTGTTCTGAAGGTGTTGCAACAAACACCGACTTGATCTGTAATAAGGTTCTGATAGAAGTTTAAGCTTGTTGAGCCTCCAAGGGAGGTGGCCGGTGATTGCTGAGTTGAAGTGACAACCTTGGGAATCCATATTGGAGTTCCAGTAGAGCCGACAATGAACTCTTCTCATCTATCTAAGTTCATGGGGAGAGTTACCTCATACTTGTGCCGGTAGGAGGTAGCAGGTATCCCACGGATAGTCGAGGGCGCACGCTGGCCCGAACACCATTGTTATTAAAAAAGAAAATTTAAGCTTGTTCTGCGGGCTAATTGGTTTACCTTGGGATTACTGGAGCTGCAAAATAGTCTACATGCTCACGTGAAACAACTTAGATGTCTACTCCTTCGTACTCGAGTTGGAGATTAGTGTAATAAGAAGAAATAACAAGGATTTTCTTTTAGGCTTGGCTATAAACTATAGTTTGAAGGTGGGGAATGGGTCCATGCTTGCTGTAGCATTAGGAGTGTGCCAAGCCAAGTTATGTACTTCATTTGTCATGTACAACTGTTTCCCTTTTTATGGAATCATCTAGGTGGCTGCTATCCTTTTATGCCCTGTTTCCTCTTCCCTTTCATGTCTTTTAGTCGGTGTAGATCTTTTTGCTCTTATAACTTGTGGGATAAACTCTTAAATAACCTTACCCCCGGTGGTATTTCTGATTGTCCATAGGGTTTGATTTTTACATTTTCATTGTTTTATGCTGCCTCCAACTGTTTTCTCTTCCCCTTCTTTTGTTTCTGTTTGTTAACAAGAGTTTTGGATATTTTACTGTAGCAATGTGTACGAGCATTTGCGGAGAGTGGTGATGGAGAGGTGCTTGTGCTACGGGTTCAAGACCCCTTCCATCGGTTATTGCTGCATGGTGTTTGTGAGGTATGCTTTGTGGAGCAATAAATGTTTACATTTCCTCATTGCAGCACTATGTCATATATGTCATAATAACATTGAGCACTGCTTCAACTTCGGGTCTGACGTGAGCGTTGAACTTGGGAATTTGGAATAGCTGTAGAACAGCGCCTCTAGATGTTCAAAGTTGTATTGTTAAGTAAGAAGAAAATCATCTGCATGGTCTCAGGATATGTTGCCTTTACCTTACAAGAGAATGCACATATGACGCTAATCTGATGTGTTATGTGGACTAATCTTTTATGGTCATCTTATAGGCTTACTTGTGTTTTAACAGTTCTACAACCTGGTCTCCGTAACAACCTCGCAAACAGAAGGCAACAAGGCTGTGAAAGTGACTAAGATAAAGAAGAAGAAGAAGGCGGGTTCAGCTGATATTCCAAACATTACACTCTGCAACTTTCTGAAGATGGCAAAAGAAGGGTTCTGGTGATTCATTTCGCCAGGATCTAGCCCTTGTATCATTACTATGTTGTGCATCATCTTAAATTACTCATTAACATCAAGTATGGTTGTTCCCTTGGCAATTCCGACGACTGTAATAAATTAATGACTTGAATTGTGGGTGCTTCGTGTTTGGAAATGTCTTATTTCTAGGGGCACCTGTCTAGGGATGGTTGTAAGGGGAATCTAAATTGCTTTGTATATATTGCAGAAATAAACATACCTTGTGATTATTACTGGATTTCTTCCTTCTCTGCTCTGTTCATTTTTCTCAGATCTCAAGGGTCCTATATTGTGGAGGAAACAAAAATTTCTGCCTCGCTTAGTAGAAACCTATTAGATAGTTTACTGTGCTGAACGACTTATAGAACATAGATGTGCGGAACTTGGTACAAACCATATATCTTTGGCGTTTCAGTTCTGGAAAGAATAACATGGTGGATATCTTGTACTTGAGAGTTGGTATTGGCCAAGTAAAAGAACTAGTATAAAGAAGATAACCTGTCAATGTATCCGAGAACAGCCATAGGGAAGTTATTCTCTTTAGTCGCCTCTTTCTCTGTTCGTGTGACAATAACAAGCAGCCTATCGTAATCTCACAAGTTGAGTATGGAGAGAACAGTGTGTGCGCAAATTTTATCCCTACCTTGAGAAGGTAGAGAGGAGAGTAATAAACAGAAACAACAGCAAGAATATAAAAAACCGAAAACAACAAGTAGTGACAGAAATTTACGAATAACAAAATACAAGACTAATACTAATACTACTTATTAATTTTCGACCTCCACACCTTCCTATCAAGGATAATACCTCGGTAAGCTGAAGCAGTATTATGTCCTGTCTAATCACTTCGCCCACTCTACTTCTCCTCAAACCCACCAAGGCCAACCTCTCACATCTCCTTACTTGGGCATCTGCGCCTCACAACTTTACATGCCCGAACCATCTAAGTTTCGTTTCCCGTAACTTGTCATCCACTAGGGCTATTCCCACATAGTCGCGAATAGCTTCATTCCTTATAAGTAGTTGAAAAATATAAGTAGCTAAGTATTTGTTTGTCTTGTTTTAAGCTTACTTTTATTTTGGCAAGGGAGTAGGAATCCACAACAACTACCAATGACTAAAAATAGAACTTGAAAAGGTAGTGTCAAAATGAGATCAAATAATGCAAGTTATTGATATAGAATCATATATGATATTCTTAATTACTGATGGTCGCAGTCGCCGGCTAAGGTTCACTCTGTATAGTCAATGAGGAAAGAATAAAAAAGAAAGGTTGGCAAATGCAGTTCGATGTTCGGTAACTAGATCGCCAAGAGCCATCTATTGACTAAGTGACCTTGCGGCTGCTTTATGAACTAGTATAAAATCCTCAATATCTCGTGCTTATACCAGACCACCAATTTTTTCCTTAGACTAATCTTGTTTGTTTATTACAATGGCCATGAAACCCGTGAAGTACTGTGTGGTAGGTAATTTCATTTATGTTTCTTGAATGGTATTTTCATTAATTGTTTGAAATGGTTGTTGAAATCAGGTGGATGCCTTCACTGACGCAGCATTCAAAGGGAACCCAGCAGCAGTTTGCTTACTAGAAGAAGAAAAAGATGACAAATGGTTACAGTCTGTTGCTACTGAGTTCAATATGTCTCAAACTTTTTATCTCACTCCAATTACCCTAACTAAGGCTAACCCCACATTTGGCCTTCGTTGGTTCACTCCAGTTACTGAGGTCAGCCTATCTAGCTACCTCCTCTTTCAATTTCAAAACAACTGTTACTCAATTCTCCTTAGCTTTAAATTTATTCCGCTCTCTTATTTAACACTAGGAAGGCAGTATGAATTACCCTTCGATCCTTTCTACTTGATCTATTTGGTAATGTTGTTAAAGTAGCAAACAAATTTGGACCTCTTCCTGAAATTTTGTTTATCTTACTGCTTGCCTTTCTCTGGATTTATCCTGCTAGTGAAAGTATACATTTAGGCAATACAAGTTTGGAGCTCATCTTTCTGAAAATTTGTTATTGGAAAAATGGAAATCCATATGTTTGAAAGTGTTTCATAAGTTTCACTTTTTAGCAAGGAATTTCATTTGTGCTTTGCAGGTAGATCTATGTGGACATGCAACGCTAGCAGCAGCACACTTTCTATTTGCCTATGGCTTTGTTAAAACTGATACGATTGAGTTTTCAACAAAGTCAGGAATTTTAACTGCCAAAAGAGTTCCAGAAGCCCACGCTCCAAATTCTCAGGACGACTGGCCAACAGGTTACTCAATTGAATTGGACTTTCCTGTTTTAAAAGTAGCCGAGACCAATTTTGCTGATGTTCCTGCAGTTTCAAAAAGCTTGAATGGTGCATCTGTGGTTGAGATGATTGAGACATCTAAGAGTGATCTTTTTGTACGTATTTCATCTGGTATTTCCTTTTGTATTTACACAAGTGCATAAGATGAAAATTCATGTAAAAGCAACTCATGCAAGTCTCTCTTACAAAGGTACAAACATGGACATTCAAGAAGGAATTTTTTGTTCCATTCTTTTGGAAAAAAATGATGGGGTAAGCTGTCTACATCACACCCCTTGGGTTGCAGCCCTTCTTTGGACCCTGCATGAATGTGGGATACTTTGTGCGCCGGGCTGCCCTTTTCTTTTGGAAAAAAAAGACATGAAGAGATGCTAGATAAAATTAGTAAAAATTAGCCCTTCCTAGTGAAATGAAGATAATTCATGGTGATTTTGCAGATTTTACTCCCATCAGGGGAGGCAGTGGTCGAATGCCAACCTCAGTTTGATCAAATAAAGAATTTCCCTGGCAGAGGAATAATAATAACCGGACCTGCTCCACAGGGTTCTGGCTTTGATTTTTATAGTCGCTTCTTCTGCCCAAAGTTCAGAATTAATGAGGTAATTTCTAGCACTTGAATCTACTGTGAGCATGTACAATATTGCGTTCAAGCAGATCATCTATATGTAAACATCTATATGTTTGTATAGCTGATGCTTCTTAGATGTCTCACCTGTTCTCTTCGTGCACATAATTTTTTTTTTAAACAAAACTTTTCAGGATCCTGTTTGTGGAAGTGCTCATTGTGCTTTGGCTCCTTATTGGCGTAAAAAGCTTGCCAAATGTGACTTTGTTGCTTTAGCGGTACTTCCTCTCTTCTTCCAACTTCCTTTATCCCCCTTATCAGGAACCAAATGCACAGGCTGAAATTCTTATTCATGTGTGGACATGCATTCTGGAACTACTTATACTAACCACATAGCTCTATTTGCCTTATTGATTGGTATTGTTTTGTGGTTCAGGCCTCACCTAGAGGTGGCGTCGTGAAAGTGCATCTTGACGAGGAGAATCAAAGGGTATTTCTGAGAGGGAAAGCTGTTGCTGTCATGGAAGGTTCTCTTCTAGTATAATGTAGCTAGGAGACATCATAAATTTAATAAATTGGTGGAAGTTTGTGTTTTCTTGAATGAAAACACCACCAACTTTCTAAATTATCTAAATTGGTTTTGGTTATGTACTTCACTGTGACTCTTGGAGCATTTGTAAGTTTCCAGTGTGTTTAAACATTTACTTCTGTAGTTCTATGCTATGTTTTCATTAATAAAATCTCCATCTTTTCAAACCATTATCTGATCAGAGGGATCCAATTCTGGCTCATTTACTGAGTTTTCTATAATGAACTTCGCATACCTGCAAGTAGTGCACAGTTTGTACTATCATCAAAGTTGATGCAATAGATTATTTTACATTAGGCCTCATTTTTTTTGGTAAGCTACTGATAAAGAAGGAATTCAAGTCCTTTAATTATGTAACAATATTTTTTCATTGGCAGCAAAATCGGACAGAGACCTAAGCCCATGCTTTGTTTAAACAATTAAAAGGAGGTCTAAGATCGTTTCTTCTTTTCCAAATCCTCTTCTTTGTTTGGATACTTATTAAATGCGACAGTACTTGACATCGGATCTGTTGAACCATAAAACTTAGAACACTTTTATTTGATGCAAAACCAAATATCCTCCAAACCATATTCTCGTCCTGCAATACAAGATCAATAACTGGAACATAGGGACCTAAAACTGTGATATTTATTCCTTTAGCTTCTTAACATACTTTAAAGTGCTTCACCGACATTGTCAATTCCTTAAGCTTCATAACATTCCTGCTGGTGTTCTGCAACATCTCAGTGACACCAGCAGGAAGTTCGCAAACTAATTTGGTACGAGCACATGAAAAAACATGATTTGAGAGAATGCTAACTGAACCGTTAGCGATAGTTAAAGCAAGAGAATCAATCAAGATTTTCGGCCATGTCGACATTTCGAGTAACAGGATTCTCAGGGCAGTATGCACAAGAGTTTTCAGCACAATCAGGACCGGATTTTTGAAGCAATTCGTGTAAACAAATGTTTGTAGAGAATTGTATGGGTCAAAATCCGCCCTTAGTATATTCAGGGTGAGATAGCATTACGGGAAGAATCCTTAGATCTTAATATTAAAAAAAGCAATTAACAAGTGTTCATGCGGACAGTAAAGGCACCACGTGATAAATGCTCTGAAAAAAACCAAGAACAATGGTGTAGCATATAATATTCGATAGGCAATAATAAATGGCATTTAAGTAGATAAAGGGAATGATTCGATCAATAGAAGATGGAATAAATGAACCTTCCGTAAAGACAAATCCTTGAATAATCGAGGATTTCTCGGATCTGATGGTAAAGTGCAAATAAGAATTTCAGTGAAAAGTAGATATTTGTATCGACGTAGACAGAATCATTTTTGTCAAAGTGCTTTTCTTATCATTGTTTCTTCTTCTATTTACACGGGACATACATTCAAGAAACCCTAAAAGTATAAGTGCAGAGAATATCCCATGGAATATTCTTTTTAATATCCTATCTTGAAAACTAGCCGTTTATGCTCTATTGAACGTACTCGACCTCAATCCTCGTTGACACCTTGACTACGACTTTCGTCGACTCTTCGATCGCGGGCCGTGCGGCTTCTCGGACCGTTTTAACAAGTGACAGCTTGAGGATTCTTCCCGTAATGCTATTTCGCCCTGAATATACTAAGGGCGGATTTTGACCCATACAAGAATCATATGGAAGAGTATTTTGAAGGACATATTTACAGGTATAGGACTTGTAACGACGACAAAAGTTGATCCAAGATAAAGTGCCACCCAAATCAAGGTACAAAGTAGTGGGTTGAAGTGGGGTTTTAAGGTAAACAGAGGAAAGTGGATACAAATTGGTGGAGTTGTCTTTATTGACGGGGACAACATGTGAAGAGACAGTTCAAATCTATGAGCGGTGGGAGAACGAGGAAGAATGAATAAGAGAGAGAGATTTGGACCTTACGAGTGTGCATGGCTGCTGCTAGTGTAGCTGTTACTTACAATTGGTAAGCTGATCCCAACTTATTTACTACTCCTACAAGTTAGAATAGTACAAAACTTTTTTTCTCGGGAAAAAGCGCCTAAGTAGTTTTTTTTAGAGCTCAAACCCCAAACCTTTAATTAAGGATAAATTAATCACAACCCTTAATGATAAATTAGTATACAAAAGTAGGTTTAAATGGATATTTGTTCAAAGGCAGCTACTCTGCATTTTCGTGTTACAAGACAACTTTTTCTTTCTCAGATGCCAACTCATTCTATAGGATTAATAAATACGGTTAATATCCACATGCATTATTTACTTGTTCTATACTTTACTGTAAATATATAGTACAATACATATATTATTCTTTGGAGTTTCGGTTCCGGAAAGAATAACATGGTGCATAGGGAATATTTACCCAAAAAATGAATAGAGTTAAATTTATACGCAGTTCCGAGGATATGTGGCGTAACTTAACATAAAATGTAAGGATCAATAGAAATGTAAATATAGATTGCAGAGAATGCGAAATAGATAAGGCTGTCAGGAACAATGAATCTTAGGATTCAACAAATAGAATCAATGTAAGAAATCTGAAAGAACAATTCTTTACTGTAGAAGAATATAACACTTTTACTACAATGTAAGCCTAAAAAAAAGCTTGTCCTACAGAAATAGTAACCAAGCCCTTTTATAGTAGAGGGATTTGGCTCTAAGCATAATAAAATAAACATTCAGTGGGAGACCCATGATAAGTCAGCTTTTCCATAATTTCTGCCAAGATTCTCTCTAGTGGGATTGCAACGGCTTTTGTCTGCGAGCTCGATCTTGCTTGGAACCCTCGATTGTGGTTTGAGCTTGATTTCGGCTCGAACTCGTGATCTTGGTTCGAGCCCGATCCTGGCTCGAGTCCTCGAATTGATTCGAGGTCAATGTTGGTTGGTCTCTGGATTATCAGCATGATAGATCTACTCTGCATCATGGTTCGATTTCGATTCGAGCTCGATAATGATATCGAACTCGACACGGATCGGCCTCCCCAGGTTCGAGGTTAGTTTGTTCCACCTTCGGGATGTTACTTCGATAAATCATCGTTCGAACTCGATCGGATGTGCTAAGGCCAAAATCTATTTCGACCGTATACAGATAGTCCCCTCGTTTCTCAGAAAGAATGTGGCGAGAAATGATATAATTTTTTAACAGCTCGATCGGATTATATCCTGTCGTTTCCATCGGGTTCGACCATGACGCATCTGGTAGCTGTCCCGTCGGTTTAGCCTTTCAAGGCATTTAATGCATGTCAGGCGGTGGTCGGCCACTGTTGATACTGAACCGCCATCGCTTGAACCTATAAATAACCCTTTCTTTTATCTTTTACCATTTTTACATCTTCTATCTTCCAAATTTCCCAAGTTTTTTTTCGTACTCTCTAACTTACCAGTAAATCTGTGATTTCTTTCCGCAAAAATCCCTCTTCAATTCTACCAAATCTTTGTCACTTTCTTCTACTCCTCACCTTTGAATTCGAAAATGGCGAAAACATCGCAAACCATTCCTCAGAAAGAGAAGGCTTTATCTTCACAGTGTGCCGCCGATGAGACACTAGCAGAACCACGAACTGAGGAGTGTGTTCCCGGGGCGTGTGTCCTTACTTCAGATTTTAAGGTCGATAAAGGTTCATCTGTCCCTGGAAGGGCGACGCAAGGCTAAGCAACCGATGTCAGTGCGGTTACTATGCGCCAACTGAGGTCCTCGCCGTATGCTAGTCTAGATTATCAGTGCCATACGGAAAAACCAATATCGTGAGCAATTGAGCAGCGAAAAATGAGCAATTGTTGATGAAAGCTGATGATTGTATTGATGATGATGAAAGTTATTACAAGATGCAATGCGGTGTCGGGGGGGAGAGACACTAGTACAAAGAATTGTTTGAATGCTTTGGTCTCCCTTAATAATGCTTAAAAAAAATAAACCAAAGTTACATGAGTTGACCTAAGAAAGCTGTAGAAGCACACTNTGTTTGAATGCTTTGGTCCCCCTTAATAATGCTTAAAAAAAATAAACCAAAGTTACATGAGTTGACCTAAGAAAGCTGTAGAAGCACACTGAAAATGAATGAAGTAAAACTACTCTATAATTACAATGAAAAAGACTTAGTCTTCTATGGAAGCAAGTCTGATGGCAGCAACTTTGTCTTGAGCAACAGGGTCTGCGCGCGCATTGCTGTGGGCACGCGCGACACTATTTGGATCTGCTAGCGGCTAGGCGCTGGTGCTTGGCATTGGATCTGCGCGCGGGGCACTGTCTGTGCTTGCGATGCTTTTGGCAACATGATGGTTTGTGCGCATGGCATTGTCAGTGCGCGCGACACTGATGGCATTAGCCAACCGCTGGGCGCTGGCACTGATTATCGGTGGGGCGACAAAGGCGCATGCGAGCTTGTCACTTGGCGCTGCCGAGACCACGGGGCCGACTGTGGCGCTAGGTGTTGGGAGGCTTTCCGGGACGCCACGGGGCANCGCCACGGGGCGGGTCCAAGGGGTCATGGGTCGATGATGGAAAGCAGCCCATGACATTCTCCCCCACCTGAGTTGGCGACGTCCTCGGAGCCTTACCTGCAGGATGATGATGATTGGTCAGGCTCTTGTTGGCTGGGAGGTCTGTTCCCCTCGGTGTTGTGAGATGTCTTTCTGAATGATTACGCCTACGGGCTACATTACTTTGAGTTCGAATCATTCATTCGATTAAGCCTACGGGCTACTTTTATTTCGAGTTCGAGCAAACATTCACTCGACCATTATGCCTACGGGCTACATTACTTCGAGTTCGAATCATTCATTCGATTAAGCCTACGGGCTACTTTTATTTCAAGTTCGAGCAAGCACTCATTCGACCATTACACCTACGAGCTATATTTCTTCAAGATCTAACCATTGACAACTAATAAGCCTAAGGGCTACATCGCTCCAAGTTTGAGTAAGCGCTCGCTCGGTTACAGAGGCTACGAAGTCCAAATTTGATTAAGTTGTTTAAATCATTATGAAAACATTCATAAGGCGTGAATAAAGTCCTCACAAGACAGGAAACAAAAACAGAAGCAAGTCGGCAAAAAGGGAGATATGTCTATATACAAATTTATCTGCATGGGTGATTACAACGTAAAAACTAAGAACTAAACTTCTCGGTCAGGAGCGGTCTCTTCTTTATCAGGCTCCCCGCAATTTTCGGATTCGCTCTTGCT